GCTGGGATTACAGGCACGCGCCACGATGCCCAGCTAATTTTTTGTATTTTTAGTAAAGACGGGGTTTCACCATGTTGACCAGGATGGTCTCGATCTCTTGACCTCGTGATCCACCCGCCTCGGCCTCCCACAGTGCTGGGATTACAGGCTTGAGCCACCGCGCCCGGCCTCTGTTCTTTTTTTTTTAAGACAGAGTCTCACTCTGTGGCCCAGGCTGGAGCACAGTGGCACGATCTCCGCTCACTGCAACCTTGTCCTCCTGGGTTAAGGCAATTCTCCTGCCTCAGCCTTCCAAGCAGCTGGGAGGACAGGCATGAGCCGCCGTGCCCAGCCTGTTCTCTTTTCCACTGTTTTTTTTCTCATCTCTTTGCCGGGTTTTCTGTTGGCTTTCTCATCTGTTTCCCAACCACCTTCTCCTGTGTCCTCGGGAGCCCTGGGACTTCTTTCTCTCCCTGTCCCCACCCACCTCCAAAGGTGCTGAGCTCCACACATCCACACCCCTTGCAGCCATCCATGCCACAGCCTCCCAAGGGGCCCCATTGCCAAAGCATGCCTGCCCGCCCCGCTGTGCCTTAGTGTGTACGTGTGTGTGTGTGTGTGTGTGTTTGTGTGTGTTTGGGGGGCGGGGGGGTGGGTAGCTGGGGATTGGGCCCCCTTTCTCCTAGTGGAGGAGGGTGTGCAGTGCACCTCCCCTTTAAATTAAATATATATATATATATATATCTGAAGGTAATTTCCAATGGGCGGGAGGCTTTAAGCACATACCCTGGGTCCCTAGGCCCCGCCTGGTACTCAGCCTTGCCAGAGATTGGCTCCAGAATTTTTGCCAGGCTTACAGAACACCCACTGCCTAGAGGCCATCTTAAAAGAAGCGAGGGCTGGATGCCTTTCGTCCCAACTATTCTCTGTGGTATCAAAAAAAAGGAGTTGGGGCCAGGCATGGTGGCTCATGCACGTAATCCCAGCACTTTGGGAGTCCAAGGCAGGTGGTCACCTGAGGTCGGGAGTTCAAGACCAGCCTGGCCAACATGGTGAAACCGCATCTCTACTAAAAATACAAAAACTTAGCCAGGCGTGGTGGCGCATGCCTTTAATCCCAGTTACTCGGGAGGCTGAGGCAGGAGACTCCCTTGAACTCAGGAGGTGGAAGTTGCAGTAAGTCGAGATGGTGCCACTGTAGTCCAGCCTGGGTGACAGAGCAAAACTGTCTCAAAAAAAAGGAGTTAGACAAAGAACCACAGGATGTTGAAGACAATTGTTTGAAGTATTTGTGAGGGACAGTGATGTGACCCTCCGTGTTAAAAATAATGTGTCCTGCTTTGGCAGAGAGGAGAAGAAAATGGCCACTGCCCGCCTTCAAGGCAAAATCAGCCTTATTGGTTTTGTTTTGTTTTTTTTTCTTTTCTTTTTCCTGGTCATGGGGGCAAAAATTACTGAGTGGTCTTTAAACAGGGAAGCTTCTTTTCAGCTGTTGTCTTTTGACGGTGGGTGGGAGGGTGGGGCTTGCTGCTGTCCTAGCTGGAGGGATGGCTTTGCTTGAATGTGTGGTGCGCACACACGGGTGTTTCTGTGTGCTAGTTGCTTCTTGCTGCTGCTGCCTGCTTGTCTGGGACTCACATGCATAACATATATATATAAATGTATAAATATATATTTTATTTTTTTTTAATTCCCTGGAGCTTTTGGTTCCCATCAGCTCTTGCTGTTAATCATAGAAGCCTTGTTCCTTCACCCATTCCCCTATCCATCACGTTCTTTTTCTTTAAATGTCAATATAAAGATACAAGAAGGACTTGTGCTTTATTAACTGGGAGGGCTGCTGGGCATGGTGGCTTTTCGCCTGTAATCCCAGCAATTTGGGAGGCCGAGGTGGGAGTATCACGTGAGACCAGGAGTTTGAGACTAGCCTGGCCAACATGGTGAAATTCCATCTCTACCAAAAAAATAAATAAATGGGTAGGTCTTTCGGAGAGGGGCAAGGGCCAGATTCTTGTGTCTAGTGGGAGAATAGGGTTGGAGCCAGGATAACCTTGGCCTCATCAGAAGATCCTAGCTGAGTCTGGGTCTTCTAAATGACTTACTCAAACCAGAAAGGTTGAGTGGGAGAGAAATGAACTAGTTTCTCCCTCCTTGGAGTCAGTGCCCTGAGCACCTCACAAATACAATGTCCCAATTTGAGTCAAGGAGTTTTCCTCCCAAATCACCTCTTCCTCCCAGGCTCCCCATTCTCTGGGCTGAGAACCAAGCACATCATCTTACCTTCTCCCATCTCCTAGTCCCTCATCAAACAGTATTCTTCCTCCTAAATACCATTTCTACCACCCTCTTCTCTAGGTTCCTGGCCCAGCTCAAATTTCCATTTTTTTTTTTTTTT